GGGGGGGGGGGGGGGGGGGGGGGGGGGGGGGGGGGGGGGGGGGAGTGGATTGGGAGGTCCCACGTCGATCGGAGAAAGGAGCGAGTGTCAGTGAGGACGCCAGGCCTTGAAGGGGGGTGGATCGTGAGATTCCACATCGGTTGAGGAGGAGAACAAAACATTCTTTATAAGGGTGGCAGACGCGTTTTAAAAATCTTGAAGGGAAGCCCGAAAGGGAAAGCCCAAAGAGGACAATATTTGCTAGCGGTAGGCTTGGGCCGTTACAAATGGTATCAGAACTAGACACTGGGCGATGTGTCAGTAAGGAGGCTAAGCCTCGAAGGGGGATGGATATGAGGCGGTGTGCCAGCAAGGACGCTGGGCCTCGAAGGTGGTAGATTGTGAGATCCCCACATCGGTTGGAGAGGAGAACAAAACATTCTTTATAAGAGTGTGGAAATCTTTCCCTAACAGACGCGTTTTAAAAAGCTTGAGGGGAAGCTCGAAAGAGAAAGCCAAAGAGGACAATACCTACTAGAGGTAGGCTTTCAACCACATATTGAAGTAAACAGAGGGAATGAATAAAAAAATAATAGAAAGGGGAACCAAGTAAACTATCATTTTATTTTTAAACAAACAAGGGTGATACAATTTTTTTTAACCCACATGGCTAAGTACCTTTATGTCTTCATCATTCACACTTCTGTCGAAGGGGTTATGCACCATCTCTCTGAGCGTCATCATTTATGGTGGAAAAATGTTAAGCCACTACTTTAAAATAGCCTATCTCACAAGACAAGTGGTGGCACGCTCCTAATCTGACATATAGCACATGCAAATATTCAAAGAATGGTTCATTCAATTGAAGAACAGAGTTGGAGCACTTAAAATCAAAACCTCAATAAATGTTTGTTTTAAGAAACATAAACTAATCAAATCTCTCAACAATCTAGCAAGATTTAATGTCAAAGATTTAGGAAATATCTAAAACAAGATGAGGGGCAAAATTGATAAAAACAAATAAAAATCATTTCCTTCAAAATTTAGTCGGCCATATTGGAGATATATTGTAACGACCCAAGTCTACCGCTAGCAGATATTGTCCTATTTGGACTTCCCCTCAAGGTTTTTAAAACGCGTCTATTAGAAAGAGATTTACACCATTTTTTAAAAAATGTTTCATTCTCCTCCCCAACCGATGTGGGATCTCACAATCCACCCCCTTTGGGGCCCAACGTCTTTGTTGGCACTCGTTCCCTTCTCCAACTGATGTGGGACTCTCCCCAAATTCATTCCCCTTCAAGGCACAGCGTCCTTGCTGGCACACCACCTCGTGTCCACCCCTCTTCGGTGCTCAGCCTCCTTATTGGCACATCACTCGATTTCTGGCTCTGATACCATTTGTAACGGTACAAGCCCACCGCTAGCAGATATTGTCCTTTTTAGGTTTTCCCTTTCAGGCTTCTCCTTAAGGTTTTTAAAACGCGTCTGCTAGGGAGAGGTTTCCACACCCTTTTTTAAAGAATGTTTCGTTCTCCTCCCCAACCGATGTTGGATCTCACATATATGAAACTTGTGGCTATTTTTCAATTTGAAGTTGAAATAGAGCTAGCTCCATAATTTCCCGATTGTATCATTGCATGACCCCATAAACTTCAAATAGGCTTTATATCTACTTGCATACAATCAGTTGTAGTAGGAAGAACCAGTTTGTAAAAAGCAGTCTATGCCTATTTTCACCTTTTCAGTGGTAATAAGGTTCAATAAATAGGGTGAATGAGTAGCTGCATCATACCACAACAGTTTAGATTGTTGCAACAATGGCTTTAGATTGTTGAACAACTTATTCAAAGAACATTTATGTTTGGCAAGAACCAACTACGACAACAATTGACTGGGAAATGATAAGTAAAAAAGAGATATTACCAGTCATGAGTTAACCATGAATTCTACAGCAGCCTCTTCCTTCTTTCTCTTGAACTGAGCAAGATGCTTATGAAAATCTTCAAGTTCTTTCTCCAACTTTTCAACGAACTGACTTGTATGTTCAAGTGATTGTTCATACTTATATTTTTCCAAGGCCTGCAATATTTTACATGCGAAAAGTTATGTTGCTTGATTAAAGCTGTTATGATGTAGAAGAGGTAAAAAAGGACTGTCTAAGAACAAAACATAAAATTTTGGGATAGAAGGTCAAAGTGAACTAGTGAAGCCATCGACTGAATTTGAACAATCCAACCTATTAGAGCCTTTTCTAAAAGAGTGACCAATTCCTTTCTAACCAAATAGCCGAACGCTTGGTTACAATAAACTGAACTCGAACCATTAGAAACTTCGTTAGAAAGGT